TAGATAGATAGATAGATAGATAGATAGATAGATAGATAGATAGATAGATAGATGTATAGATATAGATATGATGGAAAAAACCATAAGAACTGTGGGAATAAAATAAATCACATGACTAATATAAAACATTACATATTTTCTACTAATCAAAAGAGGGGATTATGATGAATCTGGTAATAAAGTCATATTTTAAAGGATAAAAAAGAATTCCAACCACACTTATGAGGCAGCGTTTATGCCAAATAAATGAAATAATTGCTCAATAATGAGTTTAAAAAAACATACTACAGGCTGATGTTTCTTTACATATTACTACGAACAGCACCTTGGCGAGCTCGTCCTCGTGGTCTGTGTTGACCCCAAAGCGAGGCATGGAGGCGCTGGAGAGGCTGGAGCTGTGAGACAGTTTCCTCACTCCACTGATGTGACTCATTGGTTTGTCTTTGAGCGTCGGAGACGGGATTTCCACCTCGTTCTGCTTGTCTACATGGAAACAAAAAAAAACAAAACAAAAAAAAAAAAAAACGGATTCGTAAGTTAAGAAAGTACAGCAACAATGTAGTTTCTTTATTTACAAACGGTTGTAAACATAACGACAGACATTTGTAATTCTGATCCAGCTCACCCAGAAAAGTGCTGGAGATGTATTCTGACACCTGGTTCCCAGAGCGACTCATCTCTGACAAGTGAGACAGTTCCCTGTTCAGCATCCTCTTAAACTGTAGCAGAATAAGAGCAGAACAAAGGCAGTCTTGGTCAAAATGGTTCTTATTTCATTATATCTTATAAAATGTATGTCATTTTTTTATTTTTATGGAAGAAAGTGAGAATTGGGCAATATGAAATAAAAGCTATCAAGGATTTTGATAGAAGCAGATATGGGTTGTGCAATAATGTTTGTTGTGTATTAGCTACATTTAAAAAATATACAGACCAAACCTTACCAATTTTTTGTTAGCTTGATCAAACCTACACCATAAGCACAAGTTTTGTTTTTTCTTTCCATTTCCTGTATGATTTGGGTCAAAATCTCTGTTTCCTTCCAGACGTTTCTCAAAGTAATTTGCTGGAATTTCCTTCTGACAGAACGCTTTGACCACATGTGTTGTCATACCTGATACTCCAGTAGACTCAGTTCGATTAGGGAATAAAATCGCAACTTTAGTTACATTTTCAGCTGCTGCAGTTTTCAAAAGTGCAATGAAAAACCTTTTCACCTCCTTGCCTGTGGTGGCGCTGCACCAAGAACTACCAAAGGAAGCTATAAAAACCACAGAAGAAGACATGAACACATGATCTTTGGACAATGTTATCAAAAACAGAGTAGTGTCACATTTTAGTGGTTGTGTCTATTGCAAGTCCTGCTTGCAATAGACTCACATGTTTGTTTAGGTTGTAGTTACCCAGGTTGCAATGAGCAATATAGTCTACTTCCGGCTTTAGGAGAGGTCTCTAGTCCGCTTGCATCCACATGTGCATTTGAACCACACCAAAGTTCACTTCAACCAAACCGTGACCTAGGTTTGTAGGCAGACCAGAGTTCATGTTTTTGATCAGAGTTTGATTTCACCTCCCCAAACAAACCCAACACCTCTAGGCAGACAAATAGAGTCGGATTAAAACAGACTCAACATGGCTGGAGCGAATACACCCTGAGTCAGGATAGTAGGAAACCTTGCTTCCACACACCATTTCATTAAGCTCTCAATACTTTTGATTCCAAACATAGGCCCTACATTGACAGTACAAGTCACCCTGTGGATGTGTAGTCGGACCTACTGGGTCAGAGATATTTCCCTACCTTGTTGGAAGCCATTTCGCTGACGGAGCGGTGCGTCTGAATGGTCTCTAGCTGGTCCAAGCACCAGTCCAGCTCCTCCAGTGTGTCCAGGGCCAGCTGCTGGTACTGCTGGTCCGAGAGTGTCCCCCTGGGGCTGACACACACTCCACCTAACGGAGACCTCCTGGAAGCACAGCAGCTAATCTGATCAGAGAGAAGACTGCAGACAGGACTAATTACTGGCAGATTTTCAACAACCTACTTCAGTTCATTATTACAATACATGCATTGGCCAGATGGAATAGCATTAAAAATCAGTTTTAGTCAAATATTGCAACAATATATATACACATATATTATGTCTTTTACATGTTAAACTTATCACTATGACTTGACATTACATTAGGCAGATAACCTTTGAAAAAAATTAAGCTCCTCGGCAATAGCAGCTCTAGGAGAAGGGCGATCTTTTCGTAGATTATCTGTTTTATATTATACTGTCAAGACATTGTGACATTTTGACGCGTAAAAAAAAAAAAAAAAAAAAAATATTACATACTGCAGTTTTAAATTATGTTGGAAAAAATGATGAAAAATATACATGTAGGAAACTGTAGTAAAATTCCTTACTTATACTCAAATAAAAAGAACACTGCGCTTCAGCTGGCGTTGTTCTAGACTAGCTACAGGCTTGGAAAGACGCTCTGTCCCTTTTTGTCAAACATCAACGTCTACAGCAAAAGAAGCCTATTAGTCATATCTCTATGAATCATAAGGATAATTCAAAGCTTTTGCTCGATAGGCCCTTTGGTGTCATGACTCACTTGGAGTAGAACACCCCTAAAACTGACAGAAATACATAAATTTCAGAAAGTCCCACACAATTTGGAAGTAATAATATTCACCGATGTAAACCCTGACTTCTCACACAAATCAAATGGACCAGTTAACCTGCTGCTAGTTGGTCATCATTTCTCATCAAGCTGTAGCTGAATGAAGGATTTCTATTATTCCATTTTCATTAGTCTGTCGGATGACATATGATAATATACTGGAAGATTTTTAGAAAATGAAATACCAACCTAATTTATTGACTAGGTCTGCTTTTGGTTTGTAAAAACAGCCATAGAACAAAATGTTGTCGATCCGGATAGCTGCTTGTTTCTAAATGGTGATTACATCATCTCCATGCAACAGTTGCTTTTATTAATATTGCAGAAGAGTCTTACTCCAGTTTTTAATGTTAAAGGGGCAGTATTATGTGTTTTCCAGCCACATAGTGCCAGTTTGACACAACATGGCTCCTCTATTAACCCTTTAACAAAGTTTTTACCAGCGTTGCACTGAGACATATAGCTAATGTCTAAGTGCAATGAGCTCAGCAGATGTTCACTTCCACCAGCTGTTTGCTAATTGCTGCTGGCTAGTCTGAAGGAGCTGAGCAAAACCCCAGGTATGTTTTTGATGAGACAATAACATAATATGATGTAAAGCTCATAAAAGTCACTTTTACACAATACTGCCCATTTAAAGGTATGTTTTAGTCACAAGGAGAGCTCAGAACCACAATCCAATTTTACAAAAAGGGAAAATATTATAATACATGTCTACGTGCTACGTTTGGTTCTTACTTGACTAACGGTGTGGAGACATTGGCAAGAATGGTGAAGTTGCTCCGTACTGATCGCAGACTGGCCAGTACCTAAAATCATCAGACATCACAGTATTATGTATTCTGAGGAGGAAAACAGCAAATCTAATGTCTTGCAGCATTGGATTTTCACAAGTTATATTTTTTCAAACTCACTTGAGCAAAAGGTGTGACAATGAAGTCTTCTGCTGTGTGCCTAAAAGGAAGAGGAACAGTTGAAAAAAGTGACAAAGACAACAGAACTGATGGGAACACAGCAAATCTCTGCTGTGTTTGTTTCTTAAGCTCACCCTTCACTGGCAAGGGAAGAATTACGGGAGACGGCCTTGGGGGACATGTCGTAGTCTGAGTCAGATCTGTAGAGGAAGGACTCTCTTCTCTGGCCCTGAGGCAGTGAGGTGTTCAATGTGCGGCTTGGACTCTGGGAGCCCAGAGGAGTGTGAGCGGGAGATACTCCATTCTCTGCTTCGTTACTGAAGTGAAAAGAAAATATCAAATCAAGATTGGGAAGAAAGGATTGAGAAGCCGTTTTCTGGGGGCCGGGGGGTTTAAGTATGCGGTACCTGTCTGTATCCGCTTGTGTGATGGAGATGCGAGGAGGAATGCGGAGAGGAAGCGTTGTGGGACGTGACATATTGCTCAGGATGTCGGGGGAACGGGTGCGATCTCGAGGGCGGAGCCAGCAGGGTACCTGACGAGACATTGATGCAAGCATTGTGACTAAAAGACGGCGGGAAAGTTGAGATTCTGGGGGTTTGGAGTGAAGTTGATATAACGTTTTATTCTTGCTAGAAACTACAGCGGGGTTAAAATCAACAATTACACAGTCCACCAAATTTCTAACTTTTATTCCATTATCTATTGATATCTATTGAAAGTTAGGTCTGGACGATATTGGCTGAAAAAAGTACCACAATATAAGAGTTTCATATCAGTCAATATCAATTACTGTCAATAATGATAACTTATTGACTAGTTTTTGTTTTAGGTATCTGAAATAATGCCAAACTGGTGGCGTGATCATTGTTTTATCCACAGTTTTCTCTCCGTGTTATTGTTTTTAAATCTTTGAGCAGATATGAGGCATGGTGGCCAAACCTGAAACTGCTGCTGCACAAGTTACTCAACAGGTTGTTGCTAGGAGACCAAAGAGGGAGTTAGCTGATGCCACCAACCTTGCTTAGGTTGAGCAGCTAAAGTATTTCTTCTGCCTACATCTCCCAGAGTGCTGTGCAGTTCTGGATCTATTTACTTTCTGAAATGTCTATCACAATAGATTTATTGTCCAGCCCAAGGTAAAAGACAGCTAAAGTTGTTAGCTTAGGTTTGGATCTATTTTAGCTGAAGCTCCAACTAAAATGAGCTAAGCTATTTCAGCCTAGATATAAAATAAGTATTGTTTTAGATCCCAAGTCACAGAAACTTTGACTGTGGCTTCAATCGAGTGTTCCTGACTCATTTTTGTGTGTAAGAGTATCCAAGGTAAATATGAGTTTAGAGTTGCAGGTTTGATGTGGCATTATCCATTGACACATTTTTGATAATAGATTTTGCAGCAAATGTAATTAAATACAGAATGAGCAGCTATATTATTGCTGACTTTTAAAGATCATCAATGGACGACTAACGGCGGGTCGGCTGACATGAAGATTCTTCGTGTTGGTACTAAAATGGTCAAAACGTGCGTTTGTGTGTTCCACCCGTCACTTCACTTCATCACGCTTTTAAGACGTGGTGTTTAAATAAATTTAAGATGATAGCTGACAGAGCGTGAACAGGATGGGCTGGCTTGGCTGTCGGTAGTGCTTCACGGTTCCTTTAAGCTCCATGCCCTCCAGGCATGTTAATGTGACCGCTCCGGTCTCCCTGTACCTGGAGACTGGGAGACAGTCTTCTGGTCCGTCCTCTGCGCAGCTCGGCCCCCAGCGTGGCCCCAGACGTGTAGGATCGGCTGTAGCGAGACGACTCCGCCTTCTCCACAGCATCTGCTACGTCTAATTCATTCCCCTGTGAGACGAGAGGGACGTGAGGTGAGGAGGGAAGCAAGCCAGATCGTTGTGCAGCACAAACTGAAAGCAATGAGAAATTCATTTGTTGCAAATATGAACTGATTTGTCCAAAAGTGGGTAAAACTTCAATGGTAATGCATAAATTAGCAATGAATGTGTGTGTGCGTGTGTAGGTGTGTGTGTGCGTGTGCATGTGTGAGGCCATGTATGTGTGTGTGTGAGAGAAAGCCCCTCAACAGACTCAGCTCTAAGAGGCTGATCTGCACTGCAGCACCGTAGCAACAAAACACTGGGGGAATGGTAGCAGTTGCTAGGCAACAGTGCCGTGTTGCGTTTGATGTCGTCCAGAACCAGATGTGGATAAATGCTCTCAGCCACCCGCATGTACAGTGCGTGCGCGCGTGCGCGCGTGCACACGCACACACACACACGCACACACACACACGCACACACAAACTCAGAAACATACGGTCACCTGATTAACATAATCAATGACTGAGCATTTGAATAATGCATGATTTAAAGTCACCTTTGAATAGAAGAAGACTCATTTACACTCATTTAGCAGAAGCTCATTTATACAAGGGTGAGGGATAATAACTGTACTCCCCCTTGTGGTGAGGGATTGACAGAGCAACCAACTTCAACAGTAACTTCATCCGAGCAGCAGCAGCTACAAAAATTACTCTTACAACTAGATACTAAATTTCCACTTCTTGTTTTGTTTATGTGTAAGGCAGAGTTATTATTGCAGCACAGCTAGCTGCTAACAGAGTCTAGAATAGGCTTGACAAAAATTGTTTCTTCAAAGAGAGAGTTTTTATTTCTTCACAAGCTCTTAAGCAAGAATATGATACAAATGGTTATTTGGAAATGTGTAGATAAATAAATTGTAGTGATATATAATTGAACCTCTATAGGGATCCAGAAATGATCACTAAAAAAAATACAATGTATAACATTTTTAAAATTATTAATGAATTCTGTGTGGGATGCAAAATATACTTTATGCGCTTCTCTCTGAACCAGCTTCTTAAGTTTCATCTTAGCAGCAACTTTCTGATTTTAATCTTCTGAGATCAAAAGTCATATTTTTTTTTCAGTGGCCCTAGCCATCTTCCATACTATGTAACACAGGTGTAGCAAAGTAATGTTAAATTAATGTTTAATGTATGGTGGGGGTTTTTCTAAATCAGCATATTATGAAAAATTTAGATATTTATTTTACGGAAACCCTCTCGATACAAGAAAATGACAAAACGGACGTTCGTCAATTAATTGTTAGTTGACCGACAAGATCAGTCAACTTTAGATTAAGATTAAGTCATTAATCATTAACTTGAATCCCTGGGGTGTAGCTAATCATTTTACATTTCACATTGTAAAATGATTAGTATTCATGTTACTTTAAGTTTCTGCCAAATAAACATATCAGGCAAAATACATATTAAAAATGAATGACTTTTGCAATCAACACACCTTGTCTCGGAGGGGGTACCATGAAAGTTTATCACTGCTCCGGGAAATACAAACCCCCATACTAAATCATGAAGAGGATGCTCATGGTTGTCTATAACTTTCTTGGTTTTATGTAAAATCCTTCTTTGCATCGTCATCTCCAGAGGTTCCACAGCAGTAACCAGAACAGAACCAGAACAGAACCAGCTTTCTTCCTCAGGTTGTTGAGCCTTTTTAAATTCCAGGCTCTGATGCTGTTGCCCCAACAGATGTGGACAGCTTTACTCTGGCAACTCAAGTCCAGACTGTTGTCCAGGTGAACACGAAGGTATTTATACTCCTCTAACACCTTTACTTCTTCTCCCATGATGGAAGTAATGCTAGACCTAATCGTTCCTCTCGAAATCTATTGTCATCTCCATTTTCTTCACATTCAAGATGAGATGACTGCTCCCACACCATGCCTCTCTGCACTCAGCCTCTGATGACACCTAACGACTTCAGAGTCATCTGAGTATTTCTGTGGGTGGCAGGGCTCTGACTTATGCAGGAGTAGACAGAGTGAAAAGGAATGGTGAGAGTACAGATCCCTGTGGTACTCCTGCATTGCTAAAAATCTGGCAACGCATATGACCCGTCACATCTCACAAACGCTGGTCCGTTTGTCAGGTAGTGATGGATCCAGGTGATTGTTGGGGCCTCCACCTGTGTCTTCTCGAGTTTTTGACAAAACAGATAAGTCTGAATTGCGTTAAATGCACTAGGTAAATCAGAGAACATGATCCTCACAGTGTTGCCTGCTTTGTCCGGATGACAGTGGGTTTGTTGAAGCAGGTGTATGATGGCATCTTCAAATCCAACTCCACAGCAAACTGCAGGAGGTTCTGACATGACTGCAGGGGGCCCAACAGGAGTCTCTCCAGGGCCTTGATGATGCGGGATGTCAGGGCAACAGGTCTTTATCATTAATGGCTGAGGGGTGAGTATTCGTAGGCACAAGGCAAATGTAAAAAATATTAACAAAAATTCTTCCTACTTCACACCATTCATTAGCAGAGCAAACAATTGTCCAAAAAAGTAATGAGGAAAAGAGGAATCAGTCTTTATAAAAAGAGAGAACTGACCAGAATTTAAGGAACAGATCTTCACCAACAGAGTAGTGCTATTCTTACGTTATCTTTTTATTTAATTATTTTGTTGTTGTTGTTTTTTTGTTAAACTAAAAGGCTTTTTATTTTGCACAGGTGTACCCTGCTGCATCAATAAAAATGACGTAGCTTTCTCAATTGCAACGAGTGACTTAAAGGGGCAGCATTATGATTTTGTTTTGGTACACAGTGCCATTTTATAGCACAATCAAATAAATATGTCACCTTCAATTGTTACAGAAATGTTATATATAAAATGTTTTATAGCAAATATGACCGATAGGAAATTTGACTTTGTAATATGATGCCTTGAAATTGGGCCTCTGCCTCTTTAACAACTCCAACTCTTTCTGAAACTGCCCCTCCAGGAAGTCATCACATCATTCCTTTATTAACGATTTTACTAGCTATGCACTGAGAAGTTGCTTGTATATTGAGTGGATGTGCAGTTCTTCCAGGTGTTTGCTAATTGCTACTGGGTAGTCTGAAGGAACTGAGTGGAGGAGGGCTGCTCAGTGAGGTGGAAGCTCTGAACCTTGGAAACTACAGCTCAGAAAAGGAGCTGCGCCTCAAAGGAGGTGCTAAGTCCAACCAAGTGTTTTGCACAGCTGAATGGTTGCCATGGGAGATTAAATGATTTCTGAAACAAGCATGAAAGAATCAAAGCAACCCTCCAGGTATATTTTTGATGAGGGAACAACATTATAACATGATGTAAATCTCAAAAAAGTTGATTTTACTTCAAACTGCCCCTTTAAATTAAACAGGATAATAATAATGAGAGGTTTTGTTTGCATCAAGTAAACGGCCTGTATTTTTACAGCATATTATCAAGTCAAATAAAGTGCTGACTTGGGCTTTACACAACATTCAGTCATTGACCCATTCACAGACTGGTAGCTATTTTATAGCCACAGCTATAGACTGACAGAAGCCAGGCTGTCACACAATCAGCGCCAGCGTTTTGGTCAGAGGGTTCCTCTGACCCTGACCAAAACAAGTGGGAAACGTGGGTGAAACAACTCGCCCAAGGACACAACAACCAGATGGACAAGCAGGGGAAGGAACCGGCAGCCCACCTGAGGCAAAAACTGCAAAGAGATCAACACATTTCTTCCACCATGTTTCCTTGTTGTTGGTTTTTCTTAAATAGTTAAACTTTTTTTAGCTTAACATAATGAAACTGCTATAATGATGTTACTGTGATCTTTTATAGTTGAATACTCTGCAGCAGCTGATACTTTACAGTGCAAATGGAAGAGATAACTAGTTGTAATATATACTTTTTTAAATAATGTTGATTAATGACATCCTTATCGTTGCAGAAGGCCTATAAATCAGTGTGACCCCTTGTTGTTCTATTGTTGGCCTGATGAAGATCCAGGACAGATGGAAACGGTGCACATAAATAAATTCTCCCACTGTAAAGAACGCAGATCTGCTTTTATCCATTAGTTAAGAACATTTGAAAGTCGGCAATGTCAATTGTAGATGTGACTACTGATTACATACACAGCAGAATCTTCACTGTTGTGCAGCTTGCTGATACAGGAAGGTAGTTTTTCTTGCCACACAACTTTTCACTAAAAATAAATAAAAGTTACACAATTTGAGCGCTAAATATTCACAACCCAGCTGCTCTCACAGCCAGACTCTCCAAAAAATATTTTTTTTAAAACTTTGTTTATTGTTTATGTTACTTGTCTCACCTCTTCTCCAGTCACCGACAGCACGCTGCGGCTCTTCTTCATTCTGATTGGCTCGTTCTGGGCTCCAGGGCGGAGCGTTCCGGAACCCAGGCAGCAGAGCAGGTGGAGAGCCAGGACCGGAGAGATCAGAGGTCACCGCAAAGCTCGAACCGGGGTCAGACCGGGTCAAAACCGGCCCCCATTGGAGCTGAGTCAGCCCAGCTAACAGCAGCGCCTGGACTGTCTCCACAGCCCAACTCTTTAGAGGGATCAAATCAGGCGTGTTTCTGCTGTAAAACAGTAAAGGGGCATCTATCTACCCCTCAGAGGCTCCAAGGTGAAAAAAATGTGGGCTTTTTACCCCAAAGCCAAAATCAGAGGCAAAGGAATTAAAAACAATTGTCATCCCGATAGATGAGCCTGTGGAACATCCAGATAAAAATCCCAGACGACACCACTAAAGGTACCATCACCTCCTCAAATTCTTCTCGGCACGTATCCGGCTCGAAGAGTGGATCACATGATGGCTACGGTAAATGAATCCTGCCAGCCAGTCATTTTCCAAACCATCCGGAACTTTAAAAACTCTGCAGCAGGTCTGTAGCGTCTCTCAGGTTGGTTTTCTGTAATGGGACAGGTCACTGGGATCCAATCTCGGCTGGGCAAGTCTCTCTGGATATTGTTGCCTCATCTGGGACATCAAACTCCAAACTCCTGACTTGATTTGATGAAAGACATCCTTGAGTCTTCTCCTTAGGGATAGCAAAACAAAACAGAAAATAGGAGTTAGCATGCAAATAAAGCTAATAAACCGATTTTATCTTTATGTTTTTATTAATCAATAGTGTAGCTATTCTTCTGCTTTCATATAGTGAAATATTTTCTATAACATACAAGATAAAGCTTCTCTCCACACAACTCGTACAGCATCAAGATTTAGACTACTGGTGGAGTGTTTTTGATAAATTAAAGTGCTTGAAGGAAAGGCAGCAGGAAGTCCTTCAACTTCTCTTTACAAGATCTTTTTCAGTTTCTCATGGATCAGTTTCATGATCCAGAAATCCAGAACGCTGCTGCTGGGTGCTAAACATCATTATAACCAGGAAGATAGAGCACATCCCCCCAGTTCTAAAGTCCTTTCACTGATGCTCAGAGAATAGATTTTGAAATACTTCTATTAGTTTATAAATTACTGTACAATTTAGAACCAAAATACATTAAAGATCTGCTGACTAGGGCTTTTGACAAAATGTAGTGGTTATTGCTTGTTGCATAATTTGTTGCTGTATTGTGTTTTTATGATGTAAAGCACTTTTAACAACTTTGGTGCTGAAATATGCTACATAATCTTGTTATGTTCCGTGTTTCTGTATGTTTATTTTTGAGTTTTCTGTGTTCAGTCCTGTTTTCCTGTGAGTCTCTGTCCTGTCCTCCCCGTTGATTGCTCCCCAGGTGTGTCTCATTCCCCTGATTACCCCGTGTGTATCTAAACCCACCTGTTGTCTGTGTTCCTCGTCGGGTCGTTGTCGTAGTCAGTGTCGTTCGTCGTAAGTCAGTCAAGTAAGTCGTTTTTTGTAGCCTCGTTTAAGTCGTCACAGTAGAACTGGGAAGTCTTGTGGCGGCATGGCTCTTATTTTGTCAGTCTTTGTTTAGTTGCTGCCGGTGCTGAGTTTTTGTCTCCACTCTGCCGTGTTGCATGTTTTTGGACTGTTTAGAGCTATATTTGATTATTAAAGACGTCAACTTCACTACATCCTGGGTCCTGCGTTCGATCTCACCACCACCAACCAACACACTTCATGACAAATCTTAACTTGATCAAATGCTATATTTTGAAACATCTATGTCAGTTCTTGTAAATTGGTTGTTTCATTATGTTAAAATTTGGACTTTATTATTTCTTCAACCTCTTATCTCGCACAATATCTTATTCGAAAAAGGAAGGAAGTCCAATTGCATTCACGTCAAGTACTTGGAATTATGAAAAAATATTAGGATTTTTCTATTCATGTCCACATCTGTGGACAATTTCATTTCTGCACTAAATTTTACAGAAAAGCTGCGGCAAGTTACTTATTTCCTTGGTGAAAGTAGCTGCATTTCCATTACAAATGTGTGAAAAATGTGGTCAATATTTCCTAATGTCTAAAAAAAAACACAATTTAGTTATTTTCATTAAATAAGAAATGCAATTTAAATCACACGTGAATAAATTTGTTCATGCCATAAGTCATTAAAAAACATACTGTGCCATTATCCTCCCACCACTTTGTTTTCTTCTTAGTGGTTTGTGCCAGTGGCAACATCTGGTTGTTTATCATGTGCAAAAAAAAGTGTTTCCATTGCAGTTATATAAAATAAACATATTTTTATGCGGCCAATAAAACCAACTAATCTTAGCACTAAGAGTTTTTTTTTGTTGTTGTTGTTGTTGTTGTTGGGTTTTTTTGTTGTTGTTTTTTTTGTCAAAATTGGCATGTTTCCATTGAGCAAATGTTTTTTTTTTGGAAAGCCAAATTGCACAATAATACCTGAGATTCCATAATAAATGTGTCCAAAATTTTGTCAATATCCTCCTCCTACCACTTCCTGTCGTCGTCGTCTTCTTCGTGGTTTATACCAATAGCAACATCCGGTTGTTGATAATGTGCGAAAAAAGCGTTTCCAGTGCAGTTTTGCGAAATAAATCAATTTCTATACAACTGATAAAACACCTCATCCTAGTGCCATTTTTTAAATAAAAAAACGAGGTTTTTTTTTTTGTTTTTGTTTTTTTTAATCGGCGTGTTTCCATTAAGCGAATTTATTTTCTAAATGTCAAATGGCGCGATGGAAACGCAGCTACTGTGAACTTGGGAAAATGTTCTAGTCTGTAGTGGGATTGTCAGAGCTGTGTGGCTAATTCTGAGGAGATACTGCAACACCAGAGTTCTCTGATGTTATATAATTACTCCGAGCAATCCGCGTTGACCTAATTCCATTGGATGGGACAGATTCAGCATATCACGGTGCTTCCGATAAAAGACACATAGTGGTGGAAACGACTTTTACCAGGGTCACAGAGAACACACCCTCCCAGTAAAAAAAAATAAAATAAATAAAGGGTGGATTTGGGGAAGGAATAAGGGAACCTTCACAGCAGAGTCAGCGGAGATGCACAGAGCGATAGCAGGTCTGAGGAGAAATCAACAAATGCATAGTGACACAGTGACATATATATGGACAGACAACAAGGAAAACGAGCACATACTGGCATGCACACACTTCCATCTCCAGCAGCTTATAAAACCAAGCAGCACTGCATCAACATGCATCTCGACCACCAACCTGCTGTTCTGTTACCAAACACTCAAACGTAAATGAGAAATAAATAAATAAATAAAAATCAACCGTGCATACATGAGGGGGGCTGTCCTGCTTTCATGTCTGCACACATACAGCAACAAGAGGTGTGTGTGCGTGCGTGCGTGCTTGCGTGCGTGTGTGTGTGTGTGTTTGTGTGTCAGAAAGCCACACGTGCACACATACTACCCCACACTCGCGCAGGCTGCAGGATGTAGGAATAATAATAATGGGGGGGAAAACACTCACCTTGATCGCCTGAAGATCAATGGGAAGAAGGGCTGGGCCTTGTCTTGCTTTCACTTGTCTCCTTCCGTCTCTGTCTCCTGTTCGTCCGTCTGTCTGTCTGCAGACATTGCAGTGTATCACCAGAGAGAAAGAGAGGGAGAGAAAGACACACACAGAGAAAGACAGAGGGAGAGAGAGAGAGAGAGAGAGAGAGAGAGAGAGAGAGAGAAAGACAGAGGGAGAGAGAGAGAGAGGAGTAAGGGGGAGAAAAAACCCACTCTCCGTTCTCATGAATATCCGCGGATTCACCAGCTTCCCTCCTCCCTCCCTCCCGATCTCTCTCCACTCTCCCCCTGCCACAGTGGTCTCCCCCAGCCGTCCCCCTCCCATCACCACCGGCTCCATGGAGAAGCCCATCCACATCCACCCTCCACCCTCCCGCACAGTGTTGTCCATTAATCCCACATAACAGTCTCCGCTCCTCCTCTCTCCATCGTTATACCCCGCTGTTTCCCTTGTTTTTTCTTTTTCTTTTAAAAGGCAGAACATGTTTTTCTTTTTATCAGCAGCCGTCCTATCTGAATAACCAGTCACCTTCCGTCACACTCACACAAAGAGCAGGTTTTTATTGACACGCTACCCATATATAAAAGAAGAAGAAAAACAATAAGCATCCATGTCTCCTAGCAGCCTATTCTGTCCTGTTTCTCTGTCCTTTCAAAGCCATTCAAGGGCATGCGGTGGGTCGCTCTAAAACACCAATTTACAACAATCACAGTCTTCCTTTTGTTTAACCATTTTGGAGGAAATATGGATGTGGAATTTAAGGTGTGAGATGAAATTACTGAACAGGAGGATTTAAGCTTAAATGCTCACAGCTACCCAATAACAAGCCCTTCATTTCTGCATGTAAATTTGGAGTGGGCGTTTATTGTATTATTTATCATTTGTCGTGACAAATTTCTTATCATGATAAGAATTTTGACTTCTTTGTCACAATGAATGCCAATTAATGATGTTTAGCTAAAAAACTGATCCATACTGTCGGGATTGTTAGTTTTACTATTTTCAGCACAGTTTGATAAAAACATCAATAAATACCAATCAGATTGAAAATTGCAATACAAATCACAATTCTTTAAGTGACTCACCGTGTCCTAAAGAAGTACATTTCTAATAGGAATGTTTTTCCAAAAGAGTATTTGTACTTGTGGGACTCCCGTCACAGTCAAACCTAAAAAAGATGTAATATGTTGTTCTTATCGTCACTTTCATTGGTTATTGCAATAGTACCACAAAATATCGAGATAAAGCTTTATGTCCACCCCTAATGTGAATTTCAACTCCCCATCTTTAATTTCCATACCATAAGTGGAGATTGTGATGACAAACACTTCTATATATTAATAGTAACGTCAATGCAGCATGCATCAGAATCAAGAATCAGAAAGCTGGACTTTAACAAAAGTATTTATTTATTTCAAACAAATCAATAAAAAATACAAAAAAACAAAAATACACCTAAACAAATACACACAATAAATACAATGTTTTGCAACATAAGTCTCAGTCATTTCAGCTATTTGTCTGAAAAGGAGTGATAACTTTACGCTTTTTTAAAATTCCCACCCCTTTATGTTATCCTTCAGTATACCCTTATATTTAACTGACTCTTCTAACAATGTTCCATATTATTCTACCAAATATTTATATCCTTCATCTTCCACATAATTATTTAGAAATATATTTTGTACCTTTTATTGAACATATTTATACTTGCACATTGCTTTTGTTCTAATGAATACTGCTTGACCTTATTCATGTTTTGTCACTTTACACTTTATGGCATTGCACAGGGAATAGACACAATCATAGTGAGACATCACTGTGAAGTGGCTTAAGTGGGGGAATGTGTTTTACTTCACAAATTTGTCCTTTATGACACAGTGGAAAGAACAAAAGTGTTAAGGGATCTTGTATATAAGTAGCTTGGGATGAGCTATCATTTTTGACTCTTTAAGTTTGTGTTGCCATTCTTGTTTTCTTGTGTTTACTGCTAACCTGTTTCTAATTTAAAATCAAACATTGTCACTTAGACAAGTCCTTATTTCATGTGATCAAATACAAATTCATTGTCATCGGTGTGATTTTTCTGTATTATTTAAAGTAGATTCAAATAGTTGAGGTTCCAGAGTGGAAATATCAGCCTGGATTTATTTCTATGATGAAAGCCTGAAGGCTTGTAGTTTTCTGTGATGAAAACTAAATTGCAGTTGGGAAACTTGAACATATATGATCCCTCTGGGCCTCAAGACACAAACATGTATTGCCAAGTATTAATGAAAAGAACGAGACAAGACCACCTTAGAATGCACGTAATGTTTTTATTTCAACTATCTGATAGAATGAATAGAAAAACAGACCAATCAATACTTGTCCTAATTTCCAAATCTACATTAACCTGGGTGTGCTGTGGTGGCGCAGGGGTTAAGCACAATCCACATATGGAGGCCTTAGTCCTCGACGCAGCTGTCGCAGGTTGATTCCTGGCCTTGGTGACCTTTGCTGCATGTCTTCCCCTTCTCTCATTACCCACTTTCCTGTCAATTAACTATCAAAAAAAGGCCCCCCGAGCCAAAAAAATCTTTAAAAAAAAAAAAAAAATCTACATTAACCTTTGTAATATAGAACATGGTAAAAAGGCTATAATCTATCTACAGTTGCTTTAATAAAACAAATATTTGACGATGCACAAACATGTTCTGATGTGTACATTGAAAATGCCGCACGCCTTCATGAAAGCACAGAATAAATGAAATGTGAACAAAAACCAGAATACTTTGCAAATAATTTTATATGCTGTGAATACAACATGAAACTGTTAAGTTCTTACAAGCAGGTTTGTTTTAAATTAGATTTTCAATAAAAATAATATTGAGAGGTAACACATTAATCAAAGTTACAGTTTTGTTGTATAGTGTATAGGTTCCTCATCTTTTAGACACACTGACAACACAGACAGCTACTTAACGATGACCGAGTTTGGTTTTCGTTTTCTAATCTTCTTCCTCCTGTAAGTCAGGCACCCACAAGCCTGAGTCAATGCATCTCTGCAGGTGGTACCTTCCCTCCTGTTAAACAAGGTCAACAATTACAGAGGGAAACCGTTTAGTTACTGAAAATAATTATTTGTTAAAGACATGCCAGCTCACCTCGGGGTTCAGCTTGTTCATCGCGTCCTGCAGCATCTCGGAGTTTTTCTCATCAAAACTCCTCTGCATTTCCTGCAAGAAATGAGACGCCAAAGTGCTGATAGGAAGCAAGAGGCCTCACACGGCGAGAAAACTTTATCCATGTATACGGACCGAACAGCGGTCTACCGCTGAGATTCTTACAATGCTACATTTAAAATCTCAGAATGTGATCAGATAAATAAGCTCATCAGTTTTCTTCGTTTTGGAGGAGGCTGCACTTATGCGCACAAGAGCGTAATGTATAAACTGACCGTTCTCCTGAAAAGCATCATTCAGGACCTTGACATCATTACAAATAATGGTCCTGCAACTAACGATTATTTAAATAATTGATTATTCTGATGATTAATTCTTTTTTAAAAATATATAAATCTTCTGCTGATTTTTATTTTAATCAATTAGGCATATTTTATGTAATATTGGAAATGCACTAAAGGTGCAAATAAACGCAATTAAAGTTTTTTTATTAAGTGAACGCCTGATCACTTGCAGCAAAGGATTCTTCTGCACTTCAAATCCTTCTAACATCAAAATGAGAAAAGCTCAGCCTCTCTGCTTGACTTATTGATACAGTGTAGGGCTGATTATGTTTTTGATTAACCAATTAATAACTGGATAGCAAAAAGCGCTTTGAAGGATTTTATTATTATTTTTGTAAAGATATTAAACCAGGCGAAACTAAATCCACACTACTTGATACGTTTCCTGTAGGACATAATTATAGACCAGTTTGGGGTTTTTTTATCTTAAATGCAAAGTGTATGTATTTTTTGTACAGTTTTGTCTTACGCCTCTTATTATGTTCTTTCATGAAATGGCCTTTTTGAGTCTGTATACTCCAGTTAATGATTAATCAATCACTGAAATAGTTGACAATTATTTCAGTAATTGATTAGTCAGGATGGATCCGATTAATCGATTAAATTAGTTGGTGATTATTTCACTAATTGATTAATCAGGATGAATCTGATTAATCGTTTAGTCAGTAACTGAAATTTATCTCCTTGTGTATCACTGTGAAGTCTGCATGCCTCTATACGATTTACCTTAGGCAGTGACTCATAGACCTCTACCGGGTCTAACCCTCCAGGACCCAGCCTCTTCTGCCTCTCCTCCTCCTCCAGCTCCTTCATCGTGCCCTCCATCTGAGCCTGCGCACACTTGCGGACCCGCTCCTTCAGCAGGTCCAGCTCTCGATCAAAAGCATTCTGGTACTCTGCATTTGCAGTCTGACGAGAACATACAACAACATACAACAACACCAAAGTGCTGACAGGAAGCAAGAGGCCTCAGGATAAAGAAACTCACCCAAACAATCCTTAAACTTTTTCCTTTAACTACGTCTTGCACGGCAAAGACGAACCTTGATGTTTGAGAAGAACTGTCTGAAGCAGCCTCTGGGGTCGACGTTCAGAGTCCGAGCCAAATCCAAGATGAACTGCATGACGATGGCTTGGTGTGCAACCTGCTCCATGAGGGCATGTTTCTACAAGGATGTGCATCACTCAGCGAGACTCGACTGTGATGTTTATTAAACTCTTTCAATGGCACTCACCTCATCTATCTCGAAGTCGATACAGAGGACGACGAGGTAATTAGCACTCTCTTCACACACCAGATGTGGGTTGTCTGACAGATACTTCTGGCTGTCGTCCCAACGCCGCAGCATACCTGGTACAACCGCATAAACCGAGCATCAACATAGCAAGTTCAACGTCCCTTTTGCAAAACAGCTCAAGCTCAGCCGTATGGAGGGAAGAACATCCGTCAATATCAGTTTTCAAGTCATGCCACTGATTCTTTGCTGGATTTAGGTACAGACTTTTGTTGGGCCGTTCTAACAGATCAATGTACTTTGCTCTAAACCTTTCTGTTGTAGCTCTGGCTGTAGGTTTATGGTCAATGTCCTACTGAAAGCATTAGTCCAAACTCTTTTGCAATCTTTAACAGGTTTAAGTGGGATGTTAGTGTTACAACTTTCTTCCACATGTTCCCTGCATGACAATTTTATTTTATACTCCACCAAAGTTGCCACTAATTTAGCGCCTTTCAGTGTCACTTTATTAAAGTCATAATAAAATCAATAATAGAATTGTCAGAAGAAAATATTATATTAAAGTAGAATAGATTATCCACTGTTACTATCTGAAATGTTCTTTATGGAAGAGAGGTAAACAAAATATAGGAGGTCAGTGAGCATTTCAGAAATCGATTAATCAGGATGGTTCAGATTAATTGATTACTGAATTAGTTGAAGATTATTTCAGTAAGGGAACAATCAAGATGAATCCAAAATATAGGCATTGACATGAGATATCAACAATGGCATGAAACAGGAAATGAAAAAAACATTTTAAAAAACTGTTTTTAAAAAAATGAAATAATTCACACACAAAGACCTGAACAGGAAGAGAGTGGAAGCAACAAACTCAAACTACAAAGAAATCTTCAAAAACAAATAAACCTTACCAAAGTGTTTCATTTCCTTGGCATACTTCTCCACAAAGGTCTTGTGCTTCTCTACCTTTTCCTGTTGTGTTTCTTTTTTAATTTCAGGTTGAATGTTGAAAACACTCTATAAACAAAAAAAACAAAAAAAAAAGGAAAAATAACAAGATAAAGTCAAGAGAGGAATCTGACAAATCAACAGCCACCATATTCACAACAAGAAACTATCAAATTCATCCAGTCCTTTTTGGAAAACATGAAAAAGCTCTGTTAACTGGAATAAAAATTGCATCTAGGATGTGACGGTCTATCCAGAGAAAAAAATTGATTCAATCGCAGTTGTTGTGCTGGGAGATCAGAATTAATTCAAATGCTTCTACATCGATTTTAAAATATATTTAAGTTGTATGTCTTTGTCGCCAATGTTTGTGAGTAAACTGCATATAATGTTATGGGTCCACTTGGATACCATAGAAGGTCGTCTCACACACCATATATATTTTGAGTAATACTTTGATGTTTATTTAAGAAAAAAATCAGGAATTAAGTTAACTTGATACTGATAATTTAAGTTAGACACTTATACAATTGTCTTATAGGGGTATTATGTGGTTTCCAGGAACGTAGAGCCATTTTATAGCATAATCAAGCAACTATGTCACCTTCAATTGTTATAAAAATACTACAAATATCAAATATGACTTAAAAGAAATTTTACTTCCTAATTTAATGTCTTGAAATTGGGCCTCTGTCTTTTTAAAAACTCCTGCTCTTTCTGAAACTCCGCCTTCAGGAATTTATTACAACATGTAAACGTGTCCGAATCGCTAGACACTGAAAGATTCAAATCTCTATCTACCAGTAACTAATATAGGAAGGAAAACCATAAAAACAATGTCTGTGCTCCCCAAAATTCATTACGTTTTCAATTATGCCAGCTTTAATCTAAATATGCCTGGCCTGAATAAAAATGTCTACTAGAAGAAGAATAAAATACGGCTATAATAAAATGAACAATATTTCAATCAAAAAGACACAAAGTAGTTTTAAAGCTCCAAAATGGTTTTCACCACTTTGACATTTCAGCCTCAGAACAACAATAAATGAATTTGTGTAACCTCTTTAAAATTTGTGTGGAATAAATAAACTGCAGACGATGTGATCCTTTCACCTTCCTTACCTTGCTAAAACCTTCTCTGCAGATGGTGTCTATATTCCAGGGTAGTTTCTTCTCATCACGTCGATGTTCCTCCAGGAGTCCCAGAAATAACTTTTCATCCTTCTCAAGTTTCTTTACCTCAGCCTGGACTTTCTTCAGCTCAGCCTCTCGTTCTTCATCTTCCTCTTCCCGCTTCATCTGCTCTTCCAGGTATCCAAGTCGTCTCTGGGCTCCCTGAAGCAGCCTGCAACATTCTGCAAAGCTGCTTTCCAGATCTTCGCCCCTCTGCTGAAATTTGGCCATCTTGTCCAGCCTGGCCTTTGGCACACACAGATGAAAGTGAGACATGTGGAAAAGTGGTAAAATAGATAGAGAAAGCAAAAATGGAACATATAAACATACAACTAGACAACATTGCGAAGAGTAAAAGAAGCATTTTACAAATGGTAGATTTTATTCAAAATAAAACTATGAAAAATACAAGATTTCAGCAAAATCTAGGTGAAAATAATCAGAAAGTAAAGAAATTGTACAGTATTTAACAGACTACATTTATGAAGAAAACTTAAATTCACAAATTTAAATAATCCACAGTACGATGAACAGATAAATCTTTTACTAGTGTTGCCTGGACTTTCCCCGATGTAGGAAAGTTTTTAAGATTCTACAAACATTAAATGTTCCAAAACAGGAGGAGCAATAAAGACGGGGAACATCAGGGGAATACTAGAGGTGTACGTTCACTTTCACTTACACAGTCATGTAACAAGACAACATCAACTTAAGCTCATTAAGAAGATCCAGAGCTGATAAAAGAAGCATGATCACTATTGTTGCTATTATCAACCTTACAGTCATAAATGTGTTTTACACCCATTTCATAAATTCTATGGAATTTTTTAGGTTTTAATCTGTACTTTTCCAGATTTAATTTTCATGAACTCCTAATTTTTTGCAGTCAATATAAAATCTAAAATTCTAAATATTTGTGCAAAATCTCTCATAGAAAGGAAGAAAGGAAAAATCAATCCATTTGCCATACAGATTTTACAAGGTGCTGGAACATTATTTGCCTAATTATTGTAATATAGGATTGAAATGCAAGGCTAATCTAAACTTTTGACCAGGCCTGGCAAAGAGATTAATTTAGCAGAGAGCTCCACCAAAAAGGTTTAGTAATCGATTCAATTTGGTGTTATTCTTAGACTCAAATGTTGAGCTATATGCATTACCTCGAATACACTTTTTTTAAACTGCATCTTCTGGTAAGTTGTTTGCTAAGAAAGCACTCATGGAAATAAGATATTTTATTTGTATAGTGCTTTACTACTAGTAAGTAAAATTACAAACAGAACATTAA